CATTATCATTATCATTATCATTATCATTATCATTATCATTATCATTATCATTATCATTATCATTCATAGTCCCCCTACTCCCAAAATTTGGTCAGAACTTTCCAGTTTCCCAGAGGACAAATTCCCTTGGGTTTGAATAGAAACGTGAGAAGTTTTACAAGGTGTGGGGTTTGGAGGGATAGTGATAGATGCTGGAGAGATGCCTGTCCTGTAAAAGAGCTAATTTGCACCCCAAATACCCCACATTCTGATCTCCTTTGAAAGAAATGTCAAAACACAGTTCTCGTACATCAGACTGAAGGAAGGCTGATAGGGGAAAATGCAGGAGTAATTTTTGGAACACTCATTCTTTGTGGATAAGCAAACAGAATGTGACTTCAAGAGATTATGTTCTCCAAATATTACCCTTCTGTTCATATATTTTCTACTCCCGTTTTCTAATCTAGGCAGGGAAACGTTTAGGTGGGGTCCCCAATTCTCTAACTTGTTTATTTCTTCCTCTATCCCTTCCAATTTTCAGAAATTGAAATGTATATTTGAAGTCTATGTGGATGCAAGAACAAGACATTCTGCTGTGGTTGATCATTTCTGCGAACCTCTGATTTTGAAAGAACGAGAGGAACATCTAAGTGAAGACACCGTTTTCTAGCGTGATGCTGATGACTTGCTTGGTTCTGAAGTGGGGGAACATAAGTCATTCACGTGATTTTCCACTTTCTTCCATAGTTTCTGGATAATTATTTAGATGCAGAGCCTCAAAATTCTCCCGTGAAAAAAGGGATCTGGCGCAGGTCCACTTCATCCAAGAATTTCTGGTAGTTCTCTTTCCTTTATTCTGAAGATTAAATTGCATAAACATTGCTGTGTTCTTTAACTGTTATCAGTTCTTCATTGTGAAACTTCTGCTTTGTCTCCCTTGCAGTGCAGTTATAAGGTAGGCTAAATCCAGGGACCAAGCTACATGACCGGTAAAATCAACGGATGTGCTTCTCATTTGAGTGAATCTTTTTGGATCACAGATGGAAAATGTGTATACTAATAGAAGAGAATATAAGTAGCTCAGGGTTGAATTGAGGATGTGACCTAGCTGGGTAATGAAATGTTTGCAAGAAAACAACCAAGCACAGAGAACCACAAGAACTCCTCAATGTGTATACTGGAATATTTCCCATAATTTAAAAGAAAAAAAAAACATGAAGGGAAGTCTAGGTGATTAGAAGCTAGTAGGACCCATCTACGTTCAGGATTTGTTTTTTTAGGTGTAAACTTAAAATATTTGGTATTTTTAACATGAATTTGCTTGCAATTTTTCCTTTCCAGCAACAACAACAAAAATTCTTTCTTTCTTTCTTTCTTTCTTTCTTTCTTTCTTTCTTTCTTTCTTTCTTTCTTT